CCCCCCAACCAAAAAAAGTCCATAACATTGGTTAAAATTCATTTTTGGTCATGGCGTCATGGTTTCCCCAATAATTATTGCAGCACTTAGAGTGAAGACCACGAATGTGTTTAGAAGGTCAAATAAGTTCTGAGTGGAGTGATGAAGTAGACCTGTATCCATACTGTTAGCATTTCGTTACCCTAGAGTTCTATCCGCTCAGTATACTAGTACCTAGTTTCGAGAAATTTGACGTAAAAAAATTTTGAGTTTCACAACATCTCAAGCTTTTGCGAATGCAGTTCTTTGAATATCTTCATAACGACCCCGAAAAATCTTGCTACTCTGATAGGGCAGACAGAACGTTTTGTTCCAGACCTCATGATCATAGTAAATCAAAACGGCCAGAAATGTCAGATAGAACTTTGTAATTCTAAGGTAGCACACATATTTGTTGGTTTCCCCCAGATAAAAGTTGGTAATAGGCGTTGGTTGTTTAGTGGTTAGGCTGTTGGTCTCGCAGCCGAAAGTACGTGGCTCGAATCCTGTAAGGGGCCCGATGATCTGTACTTGGGAAAGGTACTTTACACGAGTTTTCCCCACTTCACCCAGGTGGGAATGGGTATCTGACTAGCTATAAGCAGTGAAAGATATTTTCAGTTTGAAGCGTTTGGACGTTTAATCGACTGCTTTACTAATTTGTATGCTTCCCATGTAGCCGAGAGTGTTTCTGAGTGCTCTAGTGTCTGCTGGGGTAGTGACAAAACAATGTTGTAAACGTGCATAATATAGCTTGTTGTTGAGCGCGGATATGTGCTATGCAAAAGCTGTTTATTAATAAAAATAGAATTACAAGTGTGTGCAGGCCAAAGCGTCAGTCAAATATAAAGGTATGGTAGAAAATACAGTTGGAGCTACTCTAAAGGGCATCTGTATAAGACTTTCACCTGTACTAAAGGTCCCTTCCCTTTTCCTTCCTTACGTATTTATAAAGATAGCATAATTAATGACACTGCGTAAGACGTTCCCCCTGTCTAAGACGGCTGTGCAAAAGGCCACTTCCCTTTTCTTTCTCAGCGTATTTTTAAAGATGGTAAAATTAATTGCACTATGTAGGACGGCTACATTCTCCTAGACAATGGATGGCCGTCTTAGACAATTTCAACTATAATATGCAGTCTTGTTGCTTGCAACCTCACGTCGCTACGTCTCGAACCTGCTTACAACGTCACGTCGCTACGTCTCGAACCTACTTGCAACCTCACATTGCTACGCCACGAGCCAGGCTATTGCGAAACAACGCTTGGGACTGCTGTGTAAACACAAGCTCGTTTTGGCCCCTCGGAACTATTCCCTCCATTTGTCTGAACCCTTTTAAACTCTGCGACAGGGAGGAGATCGATCTTTCAGGGCACTTGGGTCAGCCTTTGAGTGAACAATGATAACATTTGACTGCAGAATAAAATTCTTTTGTTTACTTGCTTTTTGTTCATTATAAATGTTTTAAAATATATACCGCCAGACCTGCTCTATAACGGTCACCTGGCCAAGACAATCGAATCACCTATATAGACGACCACTTCCCACTTCCTACTTCACCTCTTGTCTCTTTCTTATACTCTTGCAATGTCGCGGTCCAAGACTTCTACCTGTCTAAGACAACCATTAATTTTTCTTCTCTGTAATGGGTGACCGTCTTGGATAATTTCGAGTATTATTGCGTCTTTTTGTTGTCGCTTTTTTTTTGTTTGTTATGGCCAGATCTATGGCGTATTACATGAAGGGACAAAATATAGGAACAACGAACTCGCATACGACACTTGGTTGTCTTTATCTCAACGAGATAAACTAGGTACAGACAGACGGAAAATTTGTGTTTGTTTTGTCCAAAAGTATATTGTGATTCACAAGAACCAATACGGGTCTACAAAGAGAAAAAAATACCATCCTTGAGTGATTTAGCTGGCGATAATTTTTTAATTATTTTTTTTTTAGATCTTAAAATCAAAGGAGCTTGGAAGACCAAAATACGTACAAGTTGTGCTCAGAGATTGTGCAAAAAATTGAATTAATACACCCTTGATAATAGCACACATTGCTTCTAGATACACGATTTGTGACGTAAGATGTACTAATTATTTATTTTCCTTATTCCTTTTCTTTTTTTTTTCTGATGTACTTTCCCTTCTGTGTTATGATTTACGATGCCAATGACCCAAAAAAAAATTTTTCATGGCCGCAAATCAGAGTGATACCTTCAACTTTATTTCACACAGACAAAATTCTTATCAAAGTATCACAA